CAACAGATTGAGAGAAAATAATTGCAAACCATATATAATATCTGACAAAATATTTGTATCTAGAATTTATAAAATACTTTTCTAACATAATAATAAGATAACCCAATTTAATAAAAAGGGCAGAAGATTTTAACAGACACTTCACAAAACAAGAGATATGAATGACCATTAAACACATGAAAAGATGTTCAATGTGAGAGGAATGTGAACTTAAATGACAGTGAGACTTCGCAACACACCGGCTTGAATGGTTGCAGTTGTAAAAGATTGGCATCAGCAAGGATTGACAAGGATGTGGAGAAAATGGTACTCTCATATACTTTGCTGGTGGGAATGTATAATGGTACAACCACTTGGGAAAACAGTTTTGCAGTCTCTTGAAAAGTTAAACATTCACTTACTGTATGGTCCATGAATCAGCTCTGCTTCTAGATATTACTCCAAGAAAAGTGAAAACATGTGGCCATACAAAGACTTGTATATAAATCTTCAAAGCAGCATCATTCATAATTGCCAACAGCTAACAAATGACATTGTCCATTAAATGGTGAATGAATAAATAAAATGTAATGTATTCATTCAATAGATATAACTACTCAGCAATAAAAGGGATTTACCCTCGGTCCATCAACTACCTGGTTGAATATCAAAAACATCAGGCTAACTGCCAAATGAAAGAAGCCAGGCACTGAAGAAAGCTGTATAACTAACGACCATTAGTTACGTTGCTGTTTCTATGGAACTTGGTTGTGTTTTCAAAAAGAATTTCCTCAAATTTGGAGTCAGTAATCCTTTTCTGTTAAGGACCAGATAGCAAATATTTTTGGATTTACAGACCGTGGGTCCTTGTCACAGGTCCTCAGCTCTGCCTTGTGGGGTGATGGCAGCCTCAGACAATCTGTAAATGGATGATATGGCTGTGTTCCATTAAAGCTTTATTTACTGAACAGGAGCAGGCTGGTTTGGCCCATGGGGTGTAGTTTGCAGACCCCTGCTCTAAATTTTTAAGGTGATAACTCCCATTTAAATTGGTTTAGCAAGTTATATCTCTCATGATTATGACCAACTTTAAAGGAACATGCCATTTTACCAAATATATTTCTCTTCTGAATCTACATTGTTTGTCTCTTTGCTTAGTAATGCTGGATATTTAGAACCAGATGACAAGTGCCTCCTAGAGACTATCCTAGAAACTCTTACAAACAAAAGAACAAATTGGTTAGAATGTTTTTGAAACATTACCTTGTGCCTGGATTTAGAAGCTAATGGTGCCATTACAGTCACACGTAATAGAAGCATGTAAATTGCAAGACGGAATTGAGATTTATGATTGAATGTGTCGTTTATTTTCTCCTGCCTGCTTTGTCCTTTATTGTTCGGTTCTTCACGTTCCCACAGAGAAGTAGACTTGTACACAGGCTACACCACCCGGAATATCTTGTGCATGCCCATCGTGAGCCGAGGAAGCGTGATAGGCGTGGTGCAGATGGTGAACAAAATAAGTGGCAGTGCCTTCTCTAAAACAGATGAAAACAACTTCAAAATGTTTGCCGTCTTTTGTGCGTTAGCCTTACACTGTGCTAATGTAAGTACTATTTTCTAAATACCTTTTTTGTCTAGTGTTCAATATTAATTTAAAACCTTTTAGTTAAAGTAGCTTAAGTTTTTTTTTTTTCCATTTATATTTTCTTTACAAACCAGGAACAGTGATTCCTAGTTGTACATATTTTAGGAAATACCTTAAAATGCCTTGGAAGGAAAAAGAAAAACCTCCTTATATTTTGCATTTATTTCAAGGTGTGAATTTGTTAAAAAGAAAAATGAAGTTAATGTAAGAGTAAAATGTTCAATTATCAGGCTTGTATTTCACAATATCTACAACTAAATAAGGAAAATGTTATCTAAATCCTTACTCTTTATCATATGCACTGTATTTGAGATTTTTACGCAGAAAAGGTAGTAATAGCTCATGTTTTCACACCGACTGGGAAAGTTTTGATTGTGAGGAAAAGTGAGGCACCATCGAGTGCCTGTGTCAGACACCTTATGGGTGTTAACTCTTCCAGTCCTCGCGACAGTGCTGCCCTGTTCCCTGAAGAATTAAATGAACTTCAATTTATATTCTGAAGTCTCACTTTACAATACTAGAACTTATGATCTTTCTTTAAAATTGTCATATTTTTCTATCAACTCTAGTAATTTTTTAATGGCCTTCCTAGAATTCTGAAGTTATGGAAAATTTTAGTCTGGTAACCTTTTTATAAAGCTAAACCAACATAAATGGGAGTTATCGCCTTAATAGAAATTGCTTTTTGGAAATAGGACTGAGTTCCTTAGAAGCAACCATATAACTGATAGAAACAGTCAAGAAACAACTAGGAATAAAAATTGCAAAAAATTATATTCTGGTGACTAAGGGTTAACCACCTTTAATTCCCTTAGTGCTATTTAGTAACAGTGCCCATCCTCTCTCCTCCCATTGCATCATGCCCTCCTGTGGGACTCATGCTGTTCCTCAGCTCATCAGAGATAGACAAGTGCAGCTGTTAAACATTTTTGCTTTGAACATTTTCCGTATCTATGTATCTCTTATAGATAAAGATATTGACAGCTATGCTTGTCTCATTTTGTTCAAAAGTTGCAAAGAGTGTAATTTCTGGTATATTCTGAGTGTTCAGTATTTTGTCATTTTTAAATGGATCCAATCCAATGGAATCTAAGTACTATAGAAACTTGGTACCTGTTATAGGCCATTAAAAATACAATAA